GATCAATCTTAGCAGAGGAAAGGAGTTCTGCTCAACTCCCAGAAGCTCTTTCCACAACTGTGGAAAGATGGCATGCAACCCCACAGCCAGAAAAATCATCTCCTCAGCCCAGGAGTTAGCAAAACCACTTCAGTTCACACCCTCCCAAAGGTCCCCCCTCTGGTAGAAGAGCAGCCCAGAGGGGCTCTGCCAAGGGCAGCTGCAGAGGGATATAACTGACAGTGGTGACTATGTTGAAAAATAGTGGTTTGTAGCTGAGAATTTGCTCTATCAAAAATTGTTATTGTGCTCTTTGGATCTGTTGTTGTTTCCATGGAAATAAATAGGAGGCATTACTTTCAGAGTGACATATGTATGTGGCATGACAAATAGCAAATGCTTAGAGCAATCTCCACATAGCAAAATTAAAAGAACAAAGACAAGAACAGCCCATCAACCACAGAATGGCTTGGGTTGGAAAGGACCCCAGGGATCACCGTGTTCCAATCCCCCTGCCACAGGCAGGCAGCCACCAGATCTGGCACTACACCAGGCTGCCCAGGGCCCCATCCAGCCTGGCCTTCCTCGAACACCTCCAGGGACGGAGCGCCCCCAGCCTCTCTGGGCAGCCTGTTCCAGCACCCCACCTTCTGTGTAAAGAAATTCCCCAGTATCCAATCTAAACCTTCCCTCCTTGAGCTTAAAACCATAACCCCTTGGCCTACCACTGTCTACCCATGTAAAAAGTTGCTTCCCCTCCTGTCTACAATCCCATTTTAAATACTGGAAGGCTGCAATGAGGTCACCATGCAGCCTTCTCTTCTCCAAGCTGAACAAGCCCTTCTCCCTCAGCCTGTCTTTGTAGCAGAGCTGCTCCAGCCCTCTGCTCATCTCAGTGCCCTCCTCTGGACCCTCTCCAACAGCTCCACGTCCTTCCTGTGCTGAGGGCCCCAGATTTGCTGCACATGGGGCCTCATGAGGGCAGAGTAGAGGGGGACGATCGCATCCCTGTCCCTGCTGGCCACCCCTCTTCTGATGAAGCTCAGGATACCATTGGCCTTCCGAGTTGCAAGAGCACACTGCTGCCTCATGTCCAGCTTCTTGTCCACCAGGACCCCCATGTCCTTCTCCACAGGGCTATTCTCAAGATCCTAGTCTGTATCTGGGGATTAATCCCCAGTGATTCATCAGAAGCACATATTAAAAACACTCTTTTGGGCTAATTTGGGGCTAAAGGAGAAGTATTTCTGTTGGAAACAAGTGAGACATCTTGCAGGGAGCAGCCCATCCCTTCAACCAAAGTCCCAAATATGAGATGGCTGAAATTTAGATAAGGAACACACACAAAGACTAAAGTGCAGTTCTGATAGCAGCCAGGCCTTTACAGCACAGCAGAGACAGGGACTCCATGGTTCACCTAACTAATAGTGACTTTCCTCTGCTTGAGAGAGCTTCGCTGTCTGCCTCCTGCTCTTCGTGCTCATCGGTCCAGGTCTGGGATCTTGTCACTCCCCTCCCCTGGAATCCCTGACACATAACAGGATCAGTGAGCACCTGTGCCACAGAGGCACCATCAGAACTCAATTACATAGGCATACCAAGGCCTTCTGAAATCATCTGCTTTGGTCAAGTTAGGATTTATCTTCTGCCACATCTAAGCCCACTGAGTCCCTCTGGTTTACCATGGGCTGTTGTTTACCTCAAGCCGGATTCACAAGCAGAAATCACAGGGGGTTTTCAACTCAGCACTACAAGGCTCCATCAGCTGCCCTAAGCCTGGTCGTCCAGCTCTGCTCCCAGCATGACAAGGCCACAGCTGGGACGCCCAGCCCTGCCCTGCCCAGGCCCACAGCACTGTGCTGCAGGACACCCACCCCACTGATGTCGTCCCATCGGAGAAATCACCCAAGTTTACATACAACACTTCAGTCCCAGGGCCATCACACCATCTAGAAAAGCAAGAGATGGAAATTGCTTTGTTGGTGGTGTTGTCCAGTGCTTCTGTGAAGTCTCTGTTGCCACGTTCAGATCCCTCATGGCTCACACCATGCGTTTAAATCCTGCAGCACTGTCCATCTCACACCTTGCTAACACTACAAAGCCCTGGAGCTCAAAGGCTCTTCTTTTCTTCTTCAAAGGTTTCTCTTTTCAAAATATAAGTACTAAGGAGCCTCACAAAGAAAGCCAACCCTGCAAAAGGCCTTCCAGAAAGCCTCCTGCCCATGCCAGACTTACCCTGGACCTGTGCAGGCCCCTTTCAGTACCTCCAACCCACAGGCACCTGTTCACACTGACAGTAGATTTTTAGATTCTCAGACCAAAAAAGCAGCAGCATTTCCTTTGAAATCAGCAAGTTTCACAATGTATGGTCTGATGACTTAGCCTGAGAAAACAAATCACTCGTGAAACAAGCACAGAAATAAATTCTGCAACATCTGGCACCTCTTGCAGGAGGGTCCTCAGCCCACAAAGCCACATCTCTTAAAGTCCCCCTGAAGGTAATCGTGTGTATCACACTGCATAAAAGAACTGCAGAAGCAGTGGTGAATTTGCTATGAAATACAACCCCTAGAGCTGCACGTTAGAGTACCTGACACCACAGAACCTGCACTTAAATTTATTCCTAGGAGAACTGCAAGTGTCCCGTTATCTATTCTTCATGACTGAGCAACAGAAGACAATTAACTTGTCTGAGCACACACATCAACTTCTTTTTTGTAAAAAACAAAACAAAACAAAAGCACACCCTTGTGGTTAAATGATGAGAAATGCTTTTAAAAACAGTGCAATAAATAGGAGCTCTTTGAAACTTGCTAATAACACCTTCTTGAAAGGCTTCCAACTGGTGATGGCTTTAACAGTTTGGGGTGTTTTTTGTGCTTTTTTTTTTAATCCCCTTTGCATGGTAAGCCATTTCCTTTAGCTCACACATCATTATAAATAACTAAATTTGAATGCTCAGGATCTGTTGATTAAAACCAGAAGTGTAATGGTAATAATATCATCCAAGTGGAACACAGCAACGTCATCCCGGAAGGCTAAGGAAGGAGGGGGCCAAGAAAAGCTTAATCCAAACTTGTCATTGGAGGCTGGAGGGTTTCGGGCAGCCTCTGCTCCTTCTTTACACATCTTTACACATCATGGTATGAATATGTCTGGTCAGCATGCTGATGCCGGATCTGACAGCAGAGGAAAGGCTGCTCATAACTCAGATTGCTTATTAAACTAGACTTTCATTTTTTATAAAAATGCATCAGAACAAAGATGTACACGTATCAACCTCATTTTTCATTTTCCTGCATTTTCTGCATCTCAGCAAGAAAATACATAAAGAGACAGAGCACTACTCTTCTTGCTGTCATTAACAATTTACCCAGACAAAACTACCATGGTGCCTGTGTCGTCCTGGAGCCAGAGCTGGGATCTCTTCCAGAGCCAAGGACCTCTATTATCTGTCTCCTTTCCTGCTCTTTCTCCAGGCTGCCCACTGCCCCTGAGCATGCAACACTCCAAGCACTTACCTGGGCAGAAGACGCACTGCTGGCCTTGGCTCAGAATCATTTAGGTTGGAAAAGCGAGATCACCTGTCTGACACACCCCTGCCCATGTTCTCTGCCCTCCGTGCCTTGGCTGGAGAGGCCACGCGGTGCCAGACAGCACACAGTGCTGCAGAGTGAGAGGTGGCCACAGGACTGCAGCCACTGAGCAGCACCACAGCTCCTGAGTCCTGCTGTCACCGAGGCAGCAGGCGCATTCACAGCAGGTATTACTGAGGCATCACTACATTACCACTGCACTCCTTGTCACTCCTTGTTTTCTTGCCTGTTTGCACAGTGCAAGCACATTATGCTTGCTGCAGGAAAGTACTATTCAAGGATAGTTTAAGAAGTGCTTCAGCAAGTGCATTTAATAAGACCAAACACCTATTTCCATTCTGACACTTTCAGACCCAGCTCGGTGTGTGAGCTGTTTAGCTGCAAGCCAGAGATTGCAGTTTCTCAGAGCCTTGGCTCAAGGTAGACACTGAAAAATGTAACCCACAGTTACATTTCTTGACACAATTTTAGTATTCATATGTTTGGAAGCATCCAAAGTATTATAATCTTCCACTAATGAGCTCTAGAAAGAAAGCATGTTTTTATTTTAAATGCAAACAGTTTGAAAAACGACCAGTGACTTCAACACAATCAAACGAAGCATTTTCATTTCTCTGTCTAAAGTAAACTTAAAGCAAGTCACCTCGGTGCCTTCCACAGATAAACCTATGCACAAAAATGCAAACCCAGGCTTTGTACCCAAGGAAATTTAAGTACAGAAGGGGTAGCAGAAGTTTTCACAGAATGTTTAATTGCACGGAGCAGGCATCAATGCATGGCATGTCTCGTTCTCAGTCCGTAAGAGCAATTTAAAGAGATGCAATTGACTGTGTGCACAAAGCCAAAGAGCCCACTCTTGGTTTTTTTTTGTTCAGGGCTCTTCTAAATCATGGTACTCCCACCTCGGATTTTCCCAGCACTTCGTATGGGGGAGCTTCTTTACTTCCTGTCTTACTCTGGTGGTAAACTGACAAGAACATTTTTTGTGAAATCCAAGGGAAAAGATGGCTTTACAGTAAGGCACGATTTGCGTATGTGAGAATCAGTGACAGCGTAGTCAGAGAATTCAAAGAAGCTTCAAAGCAGCACCACCCAGAGCCTTAGAGAACACCAAACCCATCACTGGGGAGCCGACAGGAAACGTGAGCACACCCAGAACAGAAAGCTACAGAAGAAGCACCTCTTTCTCTCCATCAGCCCCTTGCCAGCTGTAGCTGCAGGGACACATGAACAGACACACATCTTAAACCATCTGCAAGCTGACCCACAAGCAACAGTAATTTACAAGGACTAATTAATGAGGCCCAGCCATTGCATCTGTGACCCACAGAACTCAGAGATTTCAAAAATGAAGCACTGAAAGATTTCTGAAAAGTTACCATATACCAAATATTTGTAGGAGGCGCATCAGGAAAAAACAATAAATGCATTTTTAAATCCATATTTATTTGTGGCCTTTACAGAGATGAACACAACGTCAGCATCGCAGCTTTGCCCCAACACCTGGCTGCTGGCTCCACACAGCTGTCACCCACATGAACTCAGAGGATATTCAGACCACGTCTACCATTTTTTAAATTCTTCAACCTTCAGTGTCACTTTAATTTTTGTGTTCACCATCACATACAGCTTAGGTTTCTGAGAACAGAAGTTACCTTTTATTTGGAAAATGAGTCTAATAAATCAGCAGTAAGAAAGAAAAAAATGAAGAAATATCTATTAATAATTTCTGAGTAGGCAACTCTACTGCAAGGTAAAGATACAAGTAGACTGAAAATTAGCAAGGAAATTCGGGTACTACATTCAATCACCAGTGATGCACAAGAGCCTGAGTTGCCCATTTGGTAACGCAGCTTCCAAAAAGGAAGAAGCCTCTAAGTTTGATTGTCTTTCACAGAAAGTTTTGAAGTTAATTTTAGTACTCATAAAAAAGTATCCAACTGATAACACTGGGGACCAAGTTGCTTCCTTCGTCAGAGGGGCTCCTGCGTGAGAGGCAAGCAATTGCCTGCCAGTTTGTGAACTTTGCTGTTGCACTAGCATCAACACCAAGCACGAGGCTATGCAGTCCTCTACAGACATTCTCCTTGTGGTCTGTGCCAAGACTGTAAAGCAAGCAAAGAGTGTGCAACACAATTGAGTTAAGATTAACTGGACCAACATCAGCAACCTGTTTTGCATAAGGCAGAAAGGGGCAAACAATTAGCAGCCACCACCTGGTGCAGGACTGAGCAGTCCATCGAGCCCTAAAAAGACCTAAGTCAGAATCATCAATTCTTAGCAAATTCTTATTCAAACAATCTGGCAACAAACATCAATTTTTATTGGTTTCCAGTGACAGGACAGAAAAAAAACTATGAAGCCTCCATTAAGCTTCAGTAAGGGCTCAGAGAGGTGCCAACCAACTCTTAGTGCTTACACACTGCCTATAGACGTTTGTAAGAACCAACATGGGCATTGCAATTCGGACAGAAGTGTTCCACATCTTTCAGAGCATCAACGCAAAATGGAATTAAGCAACAGCCAGCTATGCACCTGCAAGGAAAAAAACACAACGCCTGTCAAGGTTTTATGATTTTTGGTTTTCGGTATTCCACATCATAACATCATGAGGGGCACTGGGAGTTTAACTGTTAATGCTCAAGTCCTGGTCCCAGCAGCCTTTCCTCTGCTGTTAGATCCGGCATCAGCACGCTGACCATAGTGCTTTACCACTTGTAACATACACAAGATCATCAAACCACATTTCTGTCAAGGACAAAAAACACTTCCTTAAACTTTCCTACCAAAGCCATCCGTAAAACTGGTGCCACAAAGCTTTAAGACGAACACAGGTGCCTGCAGAGCTAGGTGTTATCAACCTGCTGCAAGGCCCTGCAGGGCTTCCAGCCAACGCCATCTCTTCAAACCACCAAGGGTCAGAATGAGAAAGCAACAAAGCTGAGACTACAAGGCTTTACTACTGCTGAAGGCTCTAAAAGGTCACACAAGAGGAAAAAAAGTGAAGTGCAAATGAATCGACCTACCCCAGCAGGCAGAGGCCACCACATGACAGCCAAGTCAATGCTCCTGGCTCATAGCAGAGACGTGTCACGATCACCTGGTTGCAGGAAGGGCAACTCATCTGAACTGGGCGGTCATAGAACACCACTACTGGTTGGTGCACATACACCGTCTGAACTGTAACTGAACAAAGAAACATTTTGTTTATTCAGTGGGTAAATGAGGAAGAAAAGATAACCAGCTTCCTCTGAACTGCAATCAGCCGCTGTTCTGAAATACTTGAGGCTCAGAGCACTGAAATGCACAGTGACAAAGAAATCACCATGATGTTTCCTAATGCAGAACACATAGAATATAAGAATAGGTCTGTATTAAAAACTGCAGAAAGGCAAAGCATGTAATTTATGTCATTTTGCTCTGTATGTATTGTGAGACTTGCTTGATCTTATTTCCTAGTTAGGTAGGAAACACCCGTCAGCCACAGTCCTTCAGTTTCTGCACAGCACTTCTGACAACAACCTGACTCCTCTTTAATGTGGTACAGTCAAGCTTCAGGCTTACCAGGGCTACTTGTTGGCATGGGCTGTTCTGGGTACTGGGGAGGGTTCACTCCCTTCCCACCTGGTCTGAGGCCAGGATCTGGGACAGGGTAGGGATGAGGATAGTTCACATTGATTCCTACTGTCTCTTCATATGAAGGTGGTGCAGATGGGGCAGGAAAGCCACTAGGAGCAGACATCATATCTAGAACATAACAGAAAAGAATGTCATAACAGAAGAACTTATTTAGAGAAAGCAGCAACTTGTTTCGGACAAACAGCAGGAAGTAACTAGATCAAAATGCACGTTTCACAGCACAAACTGTTTTTAATGCCATCAGAAAGACAAAACATAAAAGTTGAAGTCAATAGTATTGTTGTTTTTTTCCTTCTCTTTATCTCTTCACAGTTTTTATACATCTTTCCCTCACAAACTAAAAATGCCACAGCCAGGACATGCTGTGCCCTTATTACTGTGCTGAGCTGTCTGGCAGTTTCTCCCAGTTCTCCAGAACTGTACTTCAGATGTGCTCAGTCTCCTCCACAAGCAAGAAATACGATGGACTGCACAGTGTTTGCTGACTAACATGAGCCTCGTTTGTGGTGAAGAACAAATAATTAAAATAGAACACTGATCTTTGCTGCAATTAGAAATAAACAAGTGCTTATACTGAAGGGAAAAGAAACCCCAAACGACTAAGCACGTCCAGCTCAATTCAAATCTTTTACAACTCAATCAAGTAGTAAATGTATCATTTTTGCTGCTTACCCATGTTTCAATCAATGCAAAACACAACTTTATCAACGATTACTTTATTACAGAATAGAGGCTTGCTAACCATTGCCTTTTCCCAATAAGTATTAACCTAAGATTAGAAAACAGACGTCAGAGGGACATTCCAGGAAGTATGGTCAGCATTTTATTTCAGGCAAGACTCACAGCCTGAGTCAGCAATGTGTTACATTCTCTGTGCAACCCCAAAAAGGCACTGATAGACTTTTCACAGTTTCCATTTGTATTTTGCTCACTGCAAATAAGTGCAGAGCAGCTTATACCCTTAATCATGGTATGTTTCAGATACTCTCATCTAAAATGCCATTGATACACAGCTGCCTGGAAAGAGCAACCAATGTATAACACCTGAATGCAAAGGAGAGAAAAAGTTAAGATCACAAACCAACATCGGATCAAAACAAAATTGAGTTTAATGGGCCCCACGTGGGACTGAGATGAATTTCCAACAAATTCACAAACCGTACCCAACTGTTTATGCAAGGACATACGTCATGTGATGAGTAGCTGAAGACAGACAGTAAACTATCTAATGGCTTAAAGCTGGCTTAAATCAGGGGAACTGAGCCAAGCAGAAGCTGGATGCTTCATGGGTTCCTTCCAACTCAAGCTATTTTGTGATTGTATGAAAGGGCACTAATTCACTAATTAAAAGATAATCTGAACTTACGCGACTGAAATAAACAGGCACAAAAGAGCTGATGGCAGAGGCAGAAACAGCCCCCAAGTTCTGTCTTCTTAAAGCCCACTCTCAATTGCTGCTTCCAAATGCTTCAAAAGGGAAGATGGTGGCAAATACTGGGCTGTAAGGAAAAACAAGGATAAGACGTAACAAGGAAGTAAACAATGCCAGAAGGTCAACCTACTGGTTTGCATACGTGCAACTTACTGACGAAACACGATACGCAAACAGTGAATGACCAGTGCACAAACTAAATGCAGGACCAGAACTTCACTTGGATACACAAGAATTTCCACATACATCTGGGAGTTTCAGATCCAAAAACCACCCAGTACGGAGAAGAACTGAGCAGTTCTTGCTTCTGCACCCTGACTCTCACAACCCTTCCCCTTCAAGCCTCCAGAAATGCATGCAGCAGGACAAGGACCAATGGTTTCAGCTGCCCATCCCACTTCACTTTTCTACTTTTCATAAAACCTCCTGTGTTCCAAGCACACCACAAGGCGGCCATCGGCACACTGTGCCCAGCTGCACTAACATTGGGCAGGTGAGTCACCAGGCTCCAGAGAAGGATTAACAAACAGCAGAAGCACCGGCTCCCTCCCCCAGATTTTTCTTTTTGCTTGCGATTCTTCCTTGAGAGAACGGACTCCTAAATCTGCTCACGCTTTCCCAGCTCAAACCACCTGCATTACAAGCACACGCTGAGGCAGAACAACACCTGCAGGACACAAAGCACTTTTCTCTGTACATCCCTCACTTCAGAGCTCTGCTGCTCCACAAACAAAGCAGAAAACGTCGGCATAAACAGAGGAAAACGTCTGGTAAGGATACAGCATTCACAAACTGCTGCTGGAGCTAAACCAGCACACTAGATGAGGTACTTATGCTAGCTGGAGACCAGGAAGCAACAAAGCAACAAATTCTACCAACAGAATATTCTCCCACCCATTGGAGAGTGCAGCACAGCACTTTGACACTTCTGTGATGGCACTAAAGCCACATTACATTTCAGGGAATGAAAAGCTTCTAGAACTGTTGTATATTTAGCAAAGGTCAGAAATGCACAGCAGTTTTTGCTAATTTTGCACTTTGTTAATTCAAACACTTTCCTTCTCCCCCAGGTTAATCCTGAACTAAAAGCCCATGCAGCAGTGTGAAACCAGTGCCCCACACTGATGGCCGTGACTCTCATCTCCCTCTCCTCCTTTGTTTTTTAAGGAAAGAAGTAGTGATTCTGGAGCACAGACAACTATGAAGTATTACAACAAAGAGTACAAAAACAAAACCGAGTATCAGTCCCTCTGACATTTATCGAAGCGGCGGTTCATTAATAAAACAAGTGAACACACACAAGAACGAAAAAGCTGTAGGATTACAAGACAGGCTCTTCTCGCAGTAACTGCAGCCCAGCCCCATGCACCGCTTTGCTGCCTTCGTCCCCTCAGAGCAGCTCAAAGAAGGGTTTCAGCTCTCAGTGCCGCCCCGGAGCACAGCGCGTCCGGCACGGCCGGCTGTCCCCGAAAGAAGCCTGCGATCAGGAGAAAGAGGAGGGAACGACCCGCCTCGTTATCCAGGCTGCAAAACCTCTCGTATTGCTTTGGCACTCAGCGTCTGCGGGATTTTTCACTCGAGGAACGTTATTCGGTGAGGACGTGAAGTTGGTGATGAGATTTGCCTCCATTTCGTGCAGCCTCCGGGCAGCAGAGCCTCTTAGTTTTCTTCCTCAAAGAACAGATTTCCAAACCCAGGCCGGCCATATCAGTGCATCGTCATCTTTCCCTTTCTCTTAGGGAAGCTGGAACTTCCCTATTTCTCTATTTCAAGCTTTATGTTTCTCTTCTCCCCTCGCAAGAGCCCGGGCTGCTTTCCGGCACTGCGAGCAGCAGCTGAGCCCGGCAGCTCGCAGCGCGACCGCGTTCAGGTGCGCCGGGGTTAGACGGCAGGCATGAAACATAAGGCATTAAACAAAAAGCGACAGGCATGAAACAAAAGGCGTTAAACAAAAGGCATTAAACACAAGGCGGCAGGCATGAAACAAAAGGCAGCGGCAGCCGTGTCCCGCTCGGACACCCGAGTCACCCGAGGACGGAGCGCAGCCCTTACCTCCCCCGCCCGAGAGCTGAAAGCGGCGCGCGTTTCTCAGACGGGCTCTTTGGCACAGAGAGCCGCGGCGGGTTGCGCCGAGCAGCCCGTTCTCAGCAGAGGCGCGGCAGGAGAGCGCGGCGTTGGCTCCCCGCGGCCGGACGTCTCCGCTCTGCAGCCCGGCCGCCCGCCGCACGCGCTCCGCTCCCCCCGCAGGTGCTCGGCCGCGGCCCCCGCCGCCCCGGGGTCGCTGCCGCCGGCCTCGGTCGTGCGGAACGACCGACGGGTTGCCGAGACGGCCGGACGGGGCGACTCCGCAGGGGCTCCGCGCTGCGCTCCGGCCCGGGTCCGTCGTCTGAACTCTCCGAAAAAGGGACGGAGCCGACCCGACCCGACCCGACGCAGCGAGACTCCGGGCGACGCCCTCGGCCCTTACCGCCCCACAGAGGATCCGTGTCAGCCCCGCTCTCCCGAACCTCCGCCCCGTAGCGTTTGTCCCGTCCCTTTCCCCTCCCCGTTTGCTCGGACGAATCGCGGCAGCCGGGACACCCCCGGCCCGGCACTCGCGCGGACGAAGCGTTTCTGACGGTGCTCGGGGCGCAGCACCTCGTGCCGCCCGCTGCTGCAGAGCAGAGCAGAGCCGACCCGAGCACCGCGCCGTGCGGCTCCTGCAGCTTTCTGCCTCGGGGCACCCGAACTGAAAACAGCGATCGCCCGCTTCCCTGTCAGCAGCAGTGGCGGAGCGCGCGTTTCTGAGAGCGAGGAGAAGAAGGGGCTCCCCTTAACTCCAAGGCACGCCTTTGTAACCAGGTCCGGTTACTTCAACCAACGCTGCACGCAACAAAACAAACTATCGAAGCCTCCCAGCAGACACAGTGACTTTAACGAGGGCTCTTACAGGCAATCCATTGGATTCAGCCTCTGGAAACTTGCAACACGTTGCTCCTTTCTCCATCCAACCGAACGCACGAAATAAAGCAGAAAATGATCACCGGGCAGATCACAGTGTGGGATTCAAAGAGCACTGCTTCCCTGCCGTAGCTGAAGTGAGCCAGTTGGCCAGATTTGTCATTGAGAGCTTTAATCTGCTTTGGACTGGAAGGGCTCAGCAGGGACTTTGTTCAGGTTTTTGGCTGAAAGTATCTAAAAATCCACTGAAGTTCTATTTTCGAGCATAAATCCTCTCTTGGACCTCACCTCAAGAAACACACAGAAAGCTTCAATTCAAGTCGTCCCAGCGCCAGGGACAGGACAAAAGGCGTTCGCAATCCAAGTGACAAGAGGTGAACTCTGCAGTCAGAGCAATCTACAGAATTGGCTACAGGTATTTGTACACAGGTTTGCATCAGATGCTGAAGTGTGAGGGCACTGTGAATATTCTGGGAAAGAAGAGGAGGGGAAAGGGAAAGAAACGTGTGATGGGTTTACTTCTGCTTTGATTCGGCTACATTCAGTCCTTCTTACTTCTTAGCATTTGAACCCAAAAGTAAATGTGACTTAGAGATGAATGACTTTCCACCACTGTTAAGAAATCCCATGATGATATTTATCATATGATCACATCATGATGTGTGATCCCCAGATGTGTTAAAATCGGAATAACTTTGTGCTCTTTGGAACTAGATTTCCTTTGCCAGGTGGGTGTGAGCAGCCGAGAAGCCACAGCAGAGAGAAGCCAGGACTGAACGCACCTCCTGGGGTGAAGGAAGGCACGAGCTGCACCTGAACACCTTCTTACTCTGTGTCACGTGTTGCTTACATCTCCTCACAGCCTGTCTCCTGCTAAAACTTTTCCCCTTCTGTGGGGACCCAAAATTATTACTCTGTTTTGTTTCATGCTGTCCTCCCCCGCTGTCACAGAATATCCTGAGTTGGAAGGGACCCTCAAAGACCAGACTCCAACTCCCAGCTCCATGCAGGAGGGAACAGGCCAGAAATGAAGACAAATCTTGCTGAGCTCCCCTGCTGTATGAGCTGTGCTCTAAGATGATAAATACACCTTGTTAAAGAGAGAGAAGAAAGGCCACATGGCAATTTCAGAAAATGGAAGTAGGTTCAAAAGCAGCATCCCGTGAGAGCTCCCCCCAGTCTCCTTTCTGATGGAGGGAGGTGCCCAGCAGCCCCACGCTCTGTATTTGGCTGTCAATGCTTTTCTCCACCCTACCGTGTCATACAACAGCACCATGAGTCACGGATGTACACACAGTACTGTATGTGCTTTGTCATCACGTTAATTGCAGGTATTTTATGACGGGACACCAGCAGATGTCAGTTTAATCTCAAAAAAGAACTCTGCATAGATGATTTATCAGCCTTTGCGTCAGTGAGTTTCCACCAAAGTAACAACTTGAAGCTGGGAATCAGAAGTCAGCTTTTTCCTGCCTGGAAATCAAAAGGGTTGCACACACAATTTTTTTTGGTGGTCATTTTGCATATATGAATTTGTCAAGGCAATGCAGTATGAACATTTAATACAAGAAGAATACAGTCAGTCATTTTGTAATTGCAATTGTCAGTCAATATCCTGTCCCACACAACAGCTAACATTTAAGCCATTCATAGGTTTGCTTTTCAGAACACAAATATTTTAAGGTAGGAACAGGTAAGCTTGATAAGGTTGGGAAACAAAAACAAAGCAACAGTGCCATCTAGAAGTGCAGTGCTGAAGACAGGAAATACTTTGGAAGATTTAAGTTCAAAGTAACGAACCAAACCAACCCAAACCTCCAAAACAATCCTTCCTACATCATTCACTGCTCCAAGCACGGGCTGGGGAAGGCGTCCCTCCAAGTCCCAGGGCATGAACTTCCAGAGGGGATCAGTGCTGATAAAAGACAAAGTACTTGCACTCATAACATCAGACGGGCCTTAATCAAAGAGCAGCTTCTGCCCAGGGCAATGCTGGCTGCCTCACAACACAGACACTGAATTTTAATTAAACTGATAGAGGTAAGCACTGATTCTGCCAATTGTAAATCTTTCCTATGAAAATCATAGCTCATTTAGCTCCTCTGTGAGCTAAGTTCCTTTTAATATTATTTAATGTGCAATGCCAATGTAAATACTCCTCTGTTTTGCCAACCATTTACGTAACTGTTTAAGTAAACCTAAATCTCTTCCTATCTCGTCCTTTTCCTTCCAGGAAACTCAGGGCTGGGGTTTGAGGGCTGCCATGAAGCCAGGTACCTTCAGTGCTCACTGCTCTGCGGTGCACATTTGGGCTTTAATAACATCAGATATCCCCAGATAAGTTCTGTGCATGGCCCAGGGAGAAAAGGAACGGAGAGCCACAAAAGCACCCTTGGCTTCAAAAACTTTCATAAGAGATACTTCATGACTTTGTGATTCTACCAGCATGGGAACTGTAGGGAAACAAGGCAAGAAGCCCCCTCATGTGACAGATAAGAGAAGTGATGTCTTCAAGTCAGCTCTCAGACACGTTATCTTGCATAAATCTTATTTCTCAATTCCTATTTTCTTCCAGTGTCTTTTTCACTTCTCCTGGTACTGGAAGCCAAGGGGATGAAAATGTTCCTTCTCTTCCAAGCTTGCACCCTCCTCACTGTACATGCTGGGTTAGCATGACTGCTAAGGGAAAAGATTTGTTCCCTTCTCTGCAGTTGGTAATGTGCTGGGTGCCGTTCCTGGGAAGGGCTGGAACATTCATGGGTTTGTTACAGGAAACAGAGAAGCAGCACGGCTACTTGGAAACTGAAACGTTCCTCTGGGACTGGAATGGGTAATTACAGCACTGCTAAATCCACCCAAAGCCAATACGAGGACTTTAACGTCCTGACTTACGTTAATGAATTGCTTCCATCAATTCTACATCATTAATTGAAATTTAATAATTTAAAATTAATTATGAAGAACATAATAAAGAATTTTACATTAATACTACACCTGGTAGCGTGCAGTTCATATTCTAGCAAACATTTCTGCTTCCTCAAAAGCAGGGGCACAAAGCAAACCCAAATAACTGCCATCACAAAATCAGCGTCCCAGAAGAGGGACTGTTTGCAGTCAGCCACTAACTCGTACTATTTCACATACTGCACTGCCAACCAATTTCATGCCACGCACGCGTGCACACGGAATGATCTTCAAGTGTTTGCCCCAAGGATTCAGACGCACCACGCCTCGGCCATGAGATGGCGCGCGTTGGCCTCGCAGCGCCGCACCGAGCTGAAATCCTTCACCGAAGCTCCTGCACTGCGCCCTACCATCACCGAACGAACGGGGTGAGCTTCACGCACAGGGCCCCTAAAGCCGACCTCAGCAAACCCCGTGGAAAGCCAAGCTCACAGCTGCAGGGCGAGGCGGACGGGTAGAAAAGAACACGGGCGTCCTTTTGTTGGTTTTATGGGACGGCGGTTCGAGCAAACATTACGGACAGCCCGTTATGCACCAGTGTGACTTGTGGCAAGAAAGGAAAAAGGTCAATTTAAAAATCACTCGTATGCAGGGATGGAAGTTGCATCAGTTGTTCCTTAAAGCTAGAACACCCCTAGCCATCTCTAAGCCCCTCAGCAGCTTTATATCCTATACATATGATTTATGCAATTATATTTCTCATACATGCATACAAAAACTAGAGTACTTTTTAAGGCATGAAATGCCATTTATAAGCAGAAAAGATGCATTAGGACAGACAATGTTTTAATGGATAAGTACACCAGTTTCCTTCCTTTCTATTTCCTTCCTGCATGCACTACTCTTAAAGCAGATTCCTGCATCCTTTCCAAATTGCATGGCATTTGTTTTCCCCAGCTACAAGAGCTCTCTGTGGTTGCTCACACCTACCGGCCTTGCTGCACAACAGGATCATCTTCAGTATTATCTATGCTCCTTTCTTGTCGTTATTGCCACTATTGCACTTTTACAGACAGATTCTTTCCAGATGATACAAATTCCCCGTGAGCTGAAGGATAGTTTTCTCATGGCTCTGCCAGGATGGCAGAACTCCCATCACTCTCTCTCTCTTTTTTTTTTTTTTGCCTAAATAGAAATGTACAACAGCTACCAGCAATTACAGCATGACACTAAAACTGAACTTAATTCCTCTTGCTCCTTTCATTCCCATACCTGAGACATTGCGGGCTGCCGCTCCTGGGGCAAAATCTCTTATCTGAGCACACTCCCCCAGCTGTATAAAATGCAGCCCTAGGAAGAAGAGCTGAGGAATAACACCTCTCCACCTCACAAACAAATGAAGACTTCCATCCCTGTTTTCATGCACAGACTTTAATGAGGTGGCAGCACCTCCTGCAGCACAGTGGAGAGAGTGGAGGTGGCCGTACCTGCAGCTGAACCCCCCCAGAAAGGCCCTAAAATCACAGAACGGCCACGGTTGGAAGGGACTTCAAGGATCATGAATCTCCAACCCCCTGCTACATGCAGGGCCACCAACCTCCCGATTTAACACCAGACCAGGCTGCCCAGGAATGGCAGATGTGCAATGAGCTGCCATCTTCCTCCTTCCCCAGCAGCTCTAAGTGCTGGTAGCATAATTCCTGCTGGAAAATCTGCACAGTGCAGTTAGCTGCTGATCAGACCTTCACTTTCATGAAATTGTTTCTATTTAATGTTAACTCTATTGGCAATTGGCTGCTGACAGTTTCCAATTTCTGTTTCCCCATGTCCACAGCCCTTGGTGGCTGCACATTCAGTTCTCGATCTGACCCTGCTATGTGCTGCCTCATTCAATGCACTGCTTAAATTATTATTTTTAAATCGCTGTGCGACGCTCAGCTGCAGCTCTGGATCACAGGCTGCTGTGACATTGGGTGCCCTTCCAACAGCCATGCAAAACCAAGAACCCCATTTACTACCACAGCACTTGTGGGAAGCGAATGTCAGCGCAGTTACAGCAACCTGCACAGCACTGGAATCATTCGAGTGACACCACAGGATTCCCACTCAAGCACTGCTGACTGAATGTGGAGATCATGGTTGGGAAACTGGAGAAACAGCTTGGAGCTTCTGCAAGATTGCAGAAATTTTGACTCTATGAAAATCCATTAAAAAAAAAAAACATTTTTTTTTGCAAAACACCACTAAATTGGGAATCATTTCTAAACTTTCATTCTTGCCTGCAATCTGGAGTTTTCCCTGTACACAACAGTTGTGTGATGGAACCAAACACGTTTCTCTTCTGATAAAGGTGTGTTTGATTCTGGAGAATTTCTCACACTGTCCTTGGAAATGTACAACAGGCAGAAATGATCCAGAGCCCCCCAGCTCTGCTCACATGGCCAAACCCCTCCCTGCCCTCCTTACTAAACCTTGGGACATTTATTGCTCTTACAAAATCTGCACTGGGGCCTCGGCTGCTGAGTCAGCAGTGAAATAATCTTCATTTTTCCAATTCAGTCTTCTGTGGGAGATCATCACAAACATAGAAGTGTGCACAACCAATCCCCTGAACTCATCAGAACTGCTCAGCTTTTGACAGCTTTGTTAGTACAGCCTATTTACTTCTGTCTTGCACACAGATTTCTGAGCAAATTATTTACTACTTGATTCCAAAAATCAGATTTTGGATAGGTCCACCAGTGATAGAAAACCTCTCTTTGCATGGAGAGCAAGGACATATGGGAAGGATAGAAAAAGTAATTACTATTCAATTTAAATTATTGCAGTCAGTTTACTCAGAAAATTGCTTTGCCCAACCTGGAACATTTCAAAGGACAAAAGGAGCAGAAGGATTTTATCTAAAGGCAAACACTGAATAATTTTTGTTGCTACCTTCCCATTTTTCTCCTCATGTCAGCAGATAAAAGAGGAACAAGCGACGGATGCTTTCCTCTCCAGCAGGAGATGACTGGCACAGCACAGGTTGCATGCAGGTGCTGCACAACGTGGTATCAGTGCTGATAAGCTGAAGCTTCTGTGGAGGAGGAGGGCACAGGCTGAGGGAAGCAACTGAAGCTCTGTGAGCAATCGGCACTGACGGCTGTGTGAGCACCCCATGGTGAGGGTGTAAATGCATTACAAAGAGTCAATGCTAAGCAGCAGAGCTATTATCAGCAATCATACATTTGATGGCTTAGTAAAAAACACTCAACAGAGTCTTTTAGCATTACACGATCTGCTGCATCCCCACAGCTCCTCACGCCCTTACACAGAACGCTGCATACAGGTGGTCACAGACACGGCCTCCCTGCCCCACACAGCAGGGCTGAGAGCTGCAGGGACATCTCCTGTTGCATGCGAGGAGTTCCCACACCTGTGGCAACGCAGCAGATTGAAGGTGGTTCATTCACATCCCTTAAAAACAAAGCTCTGGCAGTGACAGTTTGGAGGCAAAATATTTGCTAAGGTGGAACAAACTGACACCAAAGCGCAGTGTTTTTCAGTGCTGGGAGCAATGGGAGCTGAGAGCGGCTTCCCTTGGAGCACAGGCTGCCAAGGTCTGGGAGCAGAGCTGCTCTTTGCTGCAAGCTGAGCTGTACCTCAGAACAGCCTCTGACCGACCCTCACAGCCCTGCAGAGGTGCTCCAAACAAAGCTGTGCACATCCCTGGGCACAACCCCAGCCCCTCTGGGCAGTGTGGGCACCAGGAGCCACAGCCCCACATCCCACCCTGCGACCTCTTGGAGAGAACACAAACGAGAGCAGGTCTGTGTGCACCACTTAAGAACAGAGGTCTCACTTCCATTAAAACATGCGTTTAAAATTCTGTGAGTGGAGAAGTGTATAAAACCTACAGACCTGAAAACCCACCAAAGTGCCTTACCCACAATGAGCTGACCTCATTTTTAATTTTCTTTTTGCATCTGGAAAAGTTAGACCTCAAAAACCAAGCTTCAATATGCTGAGCAGCTCTTCTGTGGCCATCAGAAACAAATTACCAAGCTGTTTAATTGGCTCAATTATCTTTAGCCATGCCACAAATAGCAAGTGACAAAGGCTTTGCTCCTGTACACACTGACTGGAAAACAGAGCAGGGCTGATGCTATTGTCTGCAGAAACAACACAGCAATTTATCAAAGACGTCTCTCAAACTTTGTTGTAAAAGACCGCAGAGTTTGTAGCACAACAGAAACAGAGCAAACGCAGCAACTCCACCGCCAGTGTTTACTGGTGCCAAAGCTCTGCTACCTGCACAGAGCAGTGCCAGGCAGACCTTCTGCAGACCAACCTCTTCTTCACCACGTTCTGTGAAGCAGAAAACGTGAGCGTGTTCAGCTGGCTGGGATATTTTGAGCAGTGGATGAGGATAGGGAAAGGAATAAAAATAGCTTCATTATCATTGCCCTTGAAAGGCTGAAGGGACACAAAGGCTTAAAGTTCTTCTCTACCTGAATGAAGAAAATTCAATCTTTCACTCCTCCACACCTGTATTTAAAATGCTTTGGGATTTTGTTGTTTGCCTGTTTATTTTCACTAAGTATTTTAAGGTCTGCTCGGCGAGCAACGCATTTCTCAGCAAAGCTCATTCTTTCACACTGCAGAGCCCAACTGGCTCTCCTGGCTCCCATGGAATGGGCACCTCCTCCCGTGCCCAAAGGAGCACACCTGCAGCAGACACTGCCTGGTTTCCTCTCCTCTCCCTCCCTCCCCTCTGCCCTCCAGTAAGTTTAAATGTAGCAATGAGTGCCTCCAGCCACAGGCTGGTTAACATCAATTCAGACCTGCTCCTTCCCCTTGCCCAGGTTGTTATTTGTGGTTCTGATCTGACCTAAATGATCAAGAGTTATACTTCACAACTGGTTGATCAGCCATGGTACATCAACACAGAGGGTCTTCCTTCCAAATGGATAACATCAAATATTCAGTCTAGGTATATCTGCTCCCTAAAATGCAGGTGAATCTTTTTATGGGAAAATAGTAGCATCACTTGCTGCTGCAAAACCAAGCTTTTGTTTGGAGCGGATCCAGGCAAAATAAATCTTTAGAACGGGTGGATAAAATGCCAGCAGAGGTGCATTAAGAGCTGGCAACCAAGTACTTCCAATTCTGGCATTTACAGGATTGTAGATGTAACCCAAGATCCTCAGGGTCTGGCCTTCGCTGTGCAAGCAGCTACACTTGGAGTTAAGCACTGCATAGACCACAGAGAAAAGAGGAAATGCAGCTGACCTTTAAAGGTTTCTTCAAAAAGGCAAAGTAATTATTGTATCACCTAAAAGACATCATGCAAAAATATTTTCTTGACAGATAGACCACCAGAATGTTTGAAATGCGCATTTTGTATTACTAGCTTATCTTTGATATGGTATGAATTTCCAGAGACCAGTGAATCATTACAGAGTGGTTTAATTAAAGTCTTCCACATTGATTGAAGTGCACGAAGCTCCATGTAACACAATATCTGTATTAGCAGAGTTACTGCAGTTTGACCTACTGTCTGTACAGAGTAGATGGAACACAACCAAAAGGCACATTAGAACAACACAGCTCAATACATATTGGATTCCAAGCCCAGTCTGGTTCCATTCTCCCTCCAAGCAGCCTAACAAAACAAATTTAATTGGCTTAAAAACAAACACAGTGATGTATTCCAAAGGGGAAAAATTGAACAAATATAAAGCACTTAGGACTGAACTCTCTCTTTTGCAAATATTTCTAAGTGTTTTTTCCCCCCCTCTAAGCACAATTTTTCGCTTCCTGCAGCACAACTATAACAACAAAGAGCTGATCAATATCATGTATGTACTGAGAGCTGATGGCCGTTAGGAAGCAGGGCATTTTGGAGCTCAGAATAACTCGGACTGTGCACAGCTCGAGTTCCACAGTCACACAGCACATCTCCTGACAGTGTTACAAAGGCAGCACTTCAGTGGGAAGACAGTCCTAACACACAGAAGGAATACAGGAACCAACACAGCAGTGCATTTCCCTAGGGTGCTTTGCACGCTGCTAACTGCTGCATTACTGCAGACAGCCTGCATCGCACAGAGCACACGGCAGGGCAGCTGCAGCCGGGCTTCCTCACCAACAGCCGCACCTCAGCACACACAGCAGATCTTTTTTCTGACAGTTGATTGCGAGCAAACCTCACATGGGCCCTATTTTCAGGAAATATTCAATAAAAGGCTCATTGATTGGATAAACACGTGAGCTCACATCCACCCAAACAAAGAGAAGTGACCTACTTCCACTTCTATTTCAGGCCCAAGGAAAGATTGCACTGTTCCAGCACCGCTGTGTTGTGAGCTCAGTGCCAGCACAGCCCTGCTTCTCTTGGTTGTCTTGGAATGCTTTCAGAGGTCACAGCTTTGAGCCCAGAAACAAACATCATCACCCTGACTTTGTAACAGCTGAGGATGTCTCCCCCCTCCCCTCCCCACCTCTCTCCCCAAAGAAGGAGATGCCCCACAACTTAACATTTTCTAGCAAAGATCCCCTGCTCTCTATTTCACACTTTGTACACTATGGCCTTCCTGATGGCAGCACACACTGCAAAGCAACTGCATCCCCTGAGGCAAATCAGATCCGTCCCAAGACTTCCAGTTACTGTCTGCATGGTTGCCATCATCTTAGTCTCAAAGCCATAGCAAAGGACGACTCTTTTTCCTTCTCTTCAGAAGGTTACCCTCCGACTTTTTCTGAAGCCCAATTCTGCCTAAAGTTAACTATTAACTCTATTTTGCAGTATGAGCAGACTATCAGTACTGCTGCCAGGCCCAGCTAAGATGAAGGCTTAACTGTAAGTCAGTTTGCTGTTCTGCTGTTTCCTCTCCTTTGTTTTCAATTGTTTGTCCCGTAAATCCTAACACAAGATTTTTTCTTCTTAGAGGCCGAGGCTGCAAATTAATCTGAAGGTCTTAGTTACAATTAAAACAATTACTTTCAATCAGACTACTGTATTTAAGTCCTCTTGCTACTAATAGGTAAAATAGCCACATCATACAGGAAATACTGACTGCATTCAGATCTGATCATTCTGATGCAACCTTCCCACCTTGGTTTCATGATCGTGCCCTCCAGGATCCCGAGCAGCAAAGCTCTTTGCCCAGCAGAACAACCAGGAGATGCGCAGGTGTGAGCAGAGCTGCCTGAACTGACAGACCACTTGGGGGTCAGTTTTCCAGACCATCCCCAGCTCCTTTGTTCACACCACTCAAAGGCCACTTGGTCTGTAAACCACCCCTACCTGCTCCACTAACACCTGGCAGCTCCAATCACTGAGCACAGCAGCAAACATTGTCTCTGGGTTGCTGTTTGCAGGGATCAGCTGCACGGCGTGCTTTGGAACGAGCAGCACTTCCATTCTGAACCCTTTTAGGAATCATTTTCAAGAGGACTCCAAACATTCGAAGCACAGCAATGTAAGTGGGCACGAAGGCTGAGGTAAGGATTGCTGTTCTCTTGGCACGCTGGGGAAGGATCACACTGGGCTTCCCTTAGAGGAATGTCCCACTGCAAGGCAGCATGTCACAGTGAGCACACAGGACTGGTGCACTGAGATGCATACAGCATGCTTATTATGGCCTGGGAAGCACCTGCTGCAGGAAGCAGAACCAGGCTGATAAAACCCCATAAGAATGCAAACAAGCTCCTAAGCAATCTCACCATGAATTTCTAGCTCTATTACAGCTGAGCTCAAGAACACAAGAAGACACATGGAGCAAACAGCTACTCCTATGCTGAATGCTACCAAGTAAAAAATGCGCTTTGAATATACAAATGAGAAATGTAAGATTTGTTTGGGCTTCCCCTGATAACACATTGAGTATCAGAACGTGCCAAGAAGACTAGACAGGAGGGCAAACAACCAGAAAGAGAGCCACCAAGCTACAGATGTGTATCAGGAAAGGTGAGAGCAGAGAACCAGCTCTGAATTACCAACAAAGGCTGCTGGTCACCACCCAGTTCAACAAAGGTTTGCTTACCTGTCCCAAGGCCTGGGGCTCACCAAACACTCCACAAGGAGGGATCTCCAGATAGAAACCTTTCCCTTGTGGCAGCCAGCCCTTTAATGAGGGCAGGGAGGGCTGGAACCGGGTTTTTGGAATTGCTGCCACCTGTGCTCCCAGGGCTGCGTCCTTCCCCAGGTGCTCAATTATTGCTTAGGACAGTGACTCAGCAATTCCCCTACAATATATAAGGAGACCTTTTCCCTATTTGAATGTACTGATAGTGACAAAGATAAATGTAAGAGAGAAGAGCTTCAGTTCCAGTCTGCAGGACAGGTTATGTACCTGTATGTCGCTCCAAAACTGCCTACAGACCAATTCTGCTCTCTCACTAACATGAGTCGTATGTACACAGCAAGATTCCTTTACAATTGGGTTGTCGATACTTTCCAGGTACTGAGAGAAATACAGTTCAGTAGAGCACAGGCAGCTGTAGAGGCCCCGTGCTGGTGCTCAGGGACAGGCAGCCTCTCGGTGGATGCAGGATCTGACAGTCGGTGCCCGCACCACCCCCCTGCTGGGCGCACCAACGTGCTCTGCTGGTCGCTTTCCCTGAAACTGAATTCGGAGCCTTCTTTTTAATGTGTAGATTTAAAAAGTAGAAAAATGTATCTGCAGCTTTCTTAATGCAGGTAATTCTCTTGCGGTTTTTGTATAAAATATTCTAGCACTGCTTAGAACTTCCCCAGGGGAATCTGCGGTGGCCCAGAGAACTGCAAGGGCTGTGAGGGTAGAAACAAATCGACGCGTGAAAACAAAGCAGAGAGAATTAAAATGGAAAAGGCTGACAGCCGAACCGTTCTGGATGAGCGAATACTGGAATTACTTGAACGGGTGAACGCTGTACAGCTGCATCTCTGCTCGAACGGGGGCCTCAGCGCGATCAGCTCTGAGCATCAGCGCCCGCAGCCCCGGGCAGCTGCCGCCGGGCGCCGGAGTGAGGAGCGGCGCGTGCTGCACCGCACGGCAACGGCCGGGCCCGGAACTCTGCCGCAGCCCGTTCCTCCCCCTCCTGTAACTGAGCCTGACAAGCCGGGGTCGGCACTGCTCTCCTCCACCTATAACAGCCGGCACCAGCGGAACCATCAGGAGACTCTGAGCCGAGCCGCACGGCGGGAGCGCAGGCACGGCTGTCCCGGAGCCCTTGCGGTGCGCAGCGCTGCGGGGCGATGAGGGGACGAGGAGACGCCTCTGCTGGGGCCGCACCTCGGCACGGAGCGGCAACGACGCCGGGCAGCACGGCGGAGGCGGCCGCGGGGCTCCGGAAGGGACCGAAGGCTGCGGGCGGAGCACCCCGGCAGGACGGCCCTCCCCCAGCGCGGCGCAGCGCCGCCCCGCCCATACCGTCGGCCGCTGCCGCCGGGCCGCGAGCACCGAGTGCGGATTGGCCGCCGCGTGACACCGCCCGGCCTCGCTGCTTGGCGGCCGTCGCGCCCGGGGTGGCGTCGGAGCGGGCGGCGGAGCTGTGACGGACGGTGAGCGCCGGGCTCGGCCGGGGCGGGCAGGCTGTCTCGGCGGGGCCCGGGCCGTTGGGGCGGTGGGGCGGTGCGGCGGTGGGCGAAGCCCCGCGGCGGCGGGCGAGACGTGCGGGTTCCGCCCCGCTCCGGGGCCGTTCCCGGACCTCCTGGGCGCCGCCGAGCCGCTCTTTGTGTCTGTGCGCTGCGGCTCGCCGCTCTCCGCGGCACCACCGGGCCCGGCTGCGCGCTGCGGGCTGCCGGCCTGCCCTGCCGGGTGTGCGGCTGCGGGGCGGCCGGGGAAAGGGTAGCGCTTCTTGCCCAACCGGGCCGCAGCCGGAGCGGCGCCGGGAGGTGTGCGCTGCGAGGAGCGGGAGGGCGGCGGGCCTGGAAGGAGCGCTTAGAAAACCGGCGAGCGTCTGAAGAGCTACTTCGAATGTCTGCGTAATAAGGTTTAATCGGCAGACACAGCGCTGTTATGAGTTTTGTAGCGCGATGGGAACCGAGCGGCGGCACGGCGCGGTACGCTGCGGGCTCCGGCCCCGCTCCGCGACCGTGGGGCCGCACCGCCGTGCCGCGGAGCGCCTCCCGAGCCGGCACAGCTCCGGCAGCCCAGGGCCGCGTCCAGCTGTGCGCGGCATCACGCCGGATCGCTGCCCGTGGCGGGCGGCTGCAGCACGCACAGCGCCCCGCACAGCACCCCGCTGCCGCGCTCAGCTTCTGCGCGCTGAGGTCTCGTGCCTGCGGCTGGCAGCCTCGCGACACTGCCCTGCTCTCTTCTGCGAAGCGTGAACTGCAGCGTAAAGCTTTAAAGGCGGCTCTTGGTTAAATGCCAGGCGGTATCACGCCTCCCGTGGAAGCTGCGCGCTGCTGTGAGGCGTCACTTCTGGATCCGGTGCTGCTGAATGGGTTAATAACCTCTTCCCACACGAAGCTGGAGCAGAAGCTGGCACTGGGCAGGAAAAAGCTATTATTTCTGGAGCAATGGCATAGCGCTGCTATTTTCACTGCTTGATTGCTAAGAATGCTGTAAGAACCAAGGCAGGCTACTTGCAATTCCCAGCAGTTAATCTGATGTATCTTACTAATGAATAAATGTACTCAGATGTGTCTTACAGCAAGTGGGGTGGAAGAGAGACAGCTCCAGCAGCACCACCAAGTACACACACAGGTACACCAGGTGTTGCTGGTAATTCTTTTGAAGACTGGCAATTTCTAACTTCTCATCACTTGGAGTAAAAGTGACAGATGAAGTCAGTGCTGCTCCTGGTATGTGTGTGGGCATATCAGCTTGGTGGGCTTTAGAGAAGGTGAGAGAAAGCTAGCTGTAATCTGCTGTGGGGTCAGTTTAAGGGGATCTACAGAATGCAGCATTCCCCCAGATGAGAAATGGACTCTGAAGACAATGCAAATTTCAATCCATTGCTGGTGGAGCACGAGGCTGGAGCTCTGCATCTAGAACACAACACAGACACCAAAGGGCTCTCTGGAGGTTCTTACTGGTGTAGTTAGTGTGCATGTGCCACCCCACAGACAGAATTAATAGCTTTTAGCAGGAAAGCTGCTATTCACCTAAAAGCCCGAGAAACAGCAGCAAGACTTAATGGTGACACTGAAGTTTGTGCTGGAATGCTGCATTTGCTTGAAACAAAGCAGCCAGCTGATAAAATGCTGCTGCCAGCCTGCTTGGTCCCTTTCACCAGGAGCTGGCAGTCTGTGCTGTTGCAGAGCTGGGCAGGGGCTTAACAGCTGGCTTAGGAAGGATGCTGGTGCCCTTGAGTATGTTGGAGTTCTTGAGTATGAAGGAGAAGATATGCATGAAGAAAGAATGACTGCTACTGCATCTTCTGAGAGTTGAAGTAACTTGAGAAAGATGACCTTGAATTTTATCCATCTCTTTCTTAAAAGATGAATGTCCATGCAGTCATTTTTCCAAAGGCATGTAGGCTAGTTTTCTCCTATAACTCCTGCATTAACTATAGTGTGGTGCAAAACTAGCAGGGATTTCCTGGGTAGAAGTGAGCTGCTTGATGCAACCCAATTTTCCTGGCAGTATTAATGAGACCAGATCTATGCATAGAGAAAGGAAACTTGCTGGGTAATACATCCAGAGGAAGCTGTGTCCCTCTGTGTCCCAGAGCCGAAAATATTCAGAAGATCTGAGTCTTCTGATGAAACTAAAAAGCAGGCAACTTGAAAAGTGCAGATCTGTGGATTTGGCAAAGGAAAAACTTTCGGAGGGGTCTGTCAGTGGTCACGTACACTCCAGATTGGACTATGAGTTGCTTAATGAAGTTGAATTGGTATCATGCATCCTGTAGGTCCTAGTTTTCCACCTCATGACACCTTGTACTTTGCCACACCAAAGCACAGGAGAACCTCAAAGACAAGTCCTGCAAGCTTCTGTTCTTATCTTCAACTATCGACACCTCTGTTGTATTAAGGGAGCTCTTCTGGTTCGTTGGTGAAAATGAACTCCATAAGAGCCACCCTGAGTCACCCTCAGCTGTTCATCCTGGATTGAATAAGCAGAGTTCATAACACTGCGAAACAAAGATGACAAATCGTACAGCTGTCTGGTTGCAGTGGGCACACAGCTCTGCTGCTGATGGTATGTGGTACACTTACTTTTATCGTTTGTTTTTAATTGGGGAAAACTGGGTCTGCCAGATTTGTTGTATACCTGGCACAATTCAACAGCAAGCTGCTGGCTGCTCTGCCTTCAGGGCTGGGAACATAACCAATTTAAACCCTACCTTGCCTCTACTGTTTGGAAGCCACTAAGGGAAGAGTGGAAGCTTGTAATAATAATCTTCCCCTTAATGTTTTATTGGAGTCTTCAGTAACTCTGGCTTCTCATGAAAAGTGCACGAGAAGCATTATTTTTCTTCAGCTCAGTGAACAACCAATTAATCACCATGTAGTCAAGCCTTCTCAGTAGACCAATGTTATGGATGGGCTTCCAGCAAACTATTAGTGTTACAATTTTTTTTGCAAGTTTTACCAATCCTGGAACCCATAGAGCATAAGGAAGATAGTGTATATCAGATCTACAAGTGCTAGATTTCTGGCTGTCAAATGTGCCACTTCTGCAAGATTGCTTTAAGCATGCTAAAGGAAGCTGACTTGCTACCTTGTCATGGACTTGACAACTCCACTATGATTTAATATTTGTACTGAAGAGTCGTAAGTCTCTCCACACAGAACTGTGTAGCTTCCATTACTGGAGGAAAAAACAACTTTGCTATGCAAATCTAGGTGTAGCCTTGATGTGGTCAGCTTGCTCAACTGTGCCTAATGACTTCAGTGTTTGTAAAAAGCTTGCTTAACTTGGGTTACAATTGAAATTTGTTAATGGACTGTCATGTCTCAGAGTTACTTCATCCGAAGGTACATCTGCATCTTGTCTCAAGCTCTCAGTAAAAACTGTTACTCCTTAGCAGTTTGAGGTTATCCATCTTGGAAGCAGGTCAAGAGCTGAAATAAGTCTAGCTTTCATTTGCATTAGTTTGCTATGAACACTTCTAAATTCAAAGGCAGTTTGTGAAGAAATACCTTAAAACAAATATGGGCACATTCAGCACTTCAAGATTCTCGTGCAGGAGACTTGAGTGAGTCACACAGAGAGCGCCAGCCGCAGGTATTCCTGAAGATACGGAACTGCACAGCCTCATTAAATGTCTGTTTTTCCCCTGCAGGAGTCTGAAAATACAGTGAAGCCTGACGGTGCAGACAGAAGAGTCTTCAAGAAGCTGGACGACCTGAAATACTGACCATGTCTATTATGGATCACAGCCCCACCACGGGAGTGGTGACGGTTATCGTTATTCTGATTGCTATCGCAGCTCTTGGCGCCTTGATTCTGGGCTGCTGGTGTTACCTGCGGCTGCAGAGGATCAGCCAGTCTGAAGATGAAGAAAGCATCGTGGGCGAAGGAGAAACCAAAGAGCCCTTTCTTCTGGTGCAGTACTCTGCTAAAGGACCCTGCGTAGAGAGGAAAGCCAAGCTAACTCCAAATGGCACAGATGTGCATAGCTAACTTGGAGCGACACGTGGACTGTGGCTACGATGTGTGTAACCAGCAGAATCTATACTGTGAAGAACTTGTTCACATGCACACTACGCATCAGAACACCTCCATGAGACGTTTAAGCATTGTCTGCAACTGCACACACAGAGAAGTTGCTCTCTGCATCAACTGTAGATCCTAATTTCTCCGCAGGAGGAGGACTCACAGGACACAGGAGCTGACTCGTCTGGCATAAAGTCCATTGCTGGCAATGGATGCAAAGATATCTTGGTGCAAAGAGACTAACAGCATTTTTTTGTTACTTGAATGTTCAGCTGAGCCTATTTTGATGGAACCACTACTGTACTGTGAACTACTTTACAACTGTGAACTGTAAATAGGCTGCCAGAAGCTTTATGCTTTGCATTCACAGCATATGAGAATAGCATGACGCAACTGCACATAACACGAGGGGACACTGAACCACAGCTGTAGATGGGAATCCCGATTTTCAAACCAGACATGTGGTTAAAGCTTGCTTCTGCTATTAACTTCTGAGTGCACAGCCAAAAGGTCAAAACAGCACCGGCTTACTGGACTGGTGTAGAATACTTTCTTTAAAAAGGTGTAAGCCTACAATAATACGCTGAGGGAAGAAACACAGGAGCTTCACGAAAGGAAATAACTTCCTTTAGTTACAGCCAGGCATTGGTTAAGCATTGCTAGAGCAGATTTTGCTAATCACATGGCAACTGCAAGGAAACTGCCATTTTGATGGGTTCTGACCTGGGAACTAATGATGGTCACCAAACCCTCGGGGTGGTCCAGAAGGTTTCCAGTGGTGTGAAGTGGCAGTAGAGCAGGCTTTTTCTCTTCTGTGTTTCTGCATGCTGAAACAGCACAAGTTTTTACCTATTAAAACTGGCATAAATGCAACTAATGAATTTTTCCTAGGACCTCGTGTAATTAGCAGCTTGGGTATATGTAATCAAGATATTAATATCCTGTTATAAAAAGGCATTTTAGACTAAGACAGTCAGGTATAGAATTCAGTTCCTGTATCTTGTAAATGACTCGGTTTAACTCCACAAGATACATTTCAGCCTCTTCTATGAGAAATAATGCTGACAGGGTGAAAGATTTCTGGTTTGTTTGCAGCCTTCAAGCTAGCAACTGAAAATATTTCCAAGTAAGGAGATCTTTTTATTTTCTGCTCTATACCATAGTTCAGCTACTGAAACTGCAACAAGATGTGTCAAATAGGGGTTCTAAACTCAAATACTTGGGAGAGGGACAGAGCTAAGCAACCAAGACCTGCTTTTGCCTACCCTAGAACTATTAGGCTCTCTCAAGCATCTTTGTGCCTAATTTCAATTTCAAACACTTAACTGCATAGGATAAAAATTTACTGTAACAATTTGTTTCTTGAAATATACTACAAACAATCAAATCCAACTTTTGTTTTTCTAGCTGACCAGGAAGTGATTACTGCTGCTTGTCCCTGTACATATGAAATAACTAAGTAACACTGGCTTAGCAAAATGATAATGGCATTGTCATAGTTAATAAAGTCTTGTCCCTTCCTTCCAGAGTAAGACATTGTATTGTATTTTTAGTGCTACGTTTGGTTTCTTTCATTGAAGGCTAGAATTTGAAGCAGAAAAGAATACTGGCAGTAGGGAAAAGCTCCTGCAGTTGCTTTTAGAATACAGCTGACAGAGCTGTCCTTGCCCTGGCACATGCTTCTTAAGATGTCAGTGGCAGGAGACTGGCATACATGCAGCCAGACCCATACTCCTAGACCTGTGTATTATAGAAATCCTAGAAATTAAGGAGAAAAGGATTAATTCAGTAAGATTTTTCTTTAGTTTTGTTTCACTAGATAACAGTTCACACATGGCTCTTGCAGATTTCAAGACAGTCAGGTAACTGGTATACAAAAGTGATACAAAGTGCTGAAGTTCTTGAATAAAGTATTTTGTCCATTCAAGTTCACTGATCACAGAGATGAAGTATTTCATTTTAATTCTGCAAACAATGCAATGAAAAGGGCAAATTTCAGAAGTTTATGGAGAAGTGTACATTAAAGGTCTAGCTTTTCTTCTAGCAGCTGTTACAGAGAAAGCTGGTGTAAAAATAATTGGTCCTTAGAGATGCTTTATGCTGCTGCCCCTAAACATCAGCATCTTTAATTTTAAATGGATAGGTGTTTGCAAGTTAGTGCAATAGTAAAGTGCAGAAAGTTTTCCATACTCCTTCTCTTCACTTTAGAATGGGGTACCTAATAAGTTGTTCAAGTATACAAAAATATTCCATTTGATTTTCTTTTTCTAGATCATGTGGGAGAAGTCTTTATTTACAGCGGATTTCAATAAAATTTGCATAAATACCTACTCAGCACGGCATCATGACTTTGTGTAAGCAATCATTCTGTCCTGTTTTCACTACTGTGTTCTGTCGCTACGGCATCGACACGATCAATCCTTTTCTCCTCTGTGCTGAGAGCTGCTGAAACCAATACGCTGCTGTCATCAGCCACTGTTTGCTCTGACTGAAGGGCTTCTTTAGGTTCGTCTTTGCTCTGTAGCTTTCCTTCCCTCGATGCCACCAGGATTCTCAGTAACGTATTCTCCTTCAGGAGGTTTTCTGATGCGTCAGCCAGTTCCTGAAGCTTTTCGGCCATTTCTAGCAATTCCCGATTCTTCTGATCGTACGTTGCCTGCAACTGCTGGCTGTGGAGCTGCAGAGTCTTGTGCTGCTTTTCCAGTGTGTGCTTCTGCTGCTGTAGTCGATGTTCTTCTCTTCTAGCTTCAGAAAGCTGTGCCTCAAGGGATTCATGGGCTTGATGCAGGGCCCTGATTTCTGACCTTAACTTCTGAATTTCTTGCTCCAAGTGGGAGATGTGTCCTTGCTGTAAAACTGTCTCTTTATGGAGGCATTCTTTGGTGCAGGGCTCTGATGAAGAAAGACTCGAGTGATGTAAAATAAATTTAAGAAGATGAGGAAGGCTGACTGGAAAGTCTTCTGGGAACTTCACGCTTTGATCCTTCCTGGAAGGACATACCAACTTAGTGTCAAGGCATAAAGCTACAGAACCAGTGATAAGTATCTGCTGCCCAACTCAAAATTGGTATCTTGGCTAATTACACAGTTAAAAGAAACCTAAACTTGTATAATGAAGATACAGCACAGGCTATTTCTATTTCATAAACTGTTTCACCTGTATTCCACAAAGATAAGATGCTTTAATGAATAATTCAAGAACTTGGGGCAGATAAGGTTTGTGTTCATCCAAATTAAGCTATTTTTGGCAGACTAGGCAACGTGTTTTTTCTTCTCCTGCAGTCCTGGTGATCAGCCAAGTTAATTCTGTAATTAGCAGCAGCAGTTTCTCAGTTGACAAGCAGCTTACATCCAAACTTAATGATTCATGACATTTTGGAAAAAATAGCCTACACTAAGCCAAAATTGACTCATTACGCAACAGTAATGTTTTACTATGTCATTATCCTTTTTAAAAATTATTATTATTATTATTTTAATCAAAACCATAGCATACATCAGAAAAGCTGAAAGGCTATTTGCAGTGAAAACCAAACCAAAGCAGCAGCAGTGTGAGGAAGAAAACACTGAGCAGGCCGAGTAACCTGCAAAGACATTCCCATGGCAAATGCACAGGGAGCTGTACAAAGCCTTCACAGAAAGCACCTTTACATCTAAAACAGCAACAACAATCTAGTGCTACTACACATACTGTCAAAGCCTGATTTCATTTATTGCCTACATGTAGCAAAACTAAAACATGCTAGAAAGGAAAAGTGGGAAAGAAATCTGCAGATACAGTTCCAGTGCTAAACTACTTAAGAAACCACGTTTGTGAATGTTACAAACCCAATCTCACTAAAAACTATGAAGTTAGCCTAGAGATGGTTGGTAAAACAGGCCAAGACAAAACAAGCATCAGTGAAAAAACAAGAAACACGGGACTACAGAGTAACACCACACAGACAGGTACCAGAGGAAGCCCCACCTACAAGTGGTTTTACTGCTCCCAGCCCTGCTTTGCCAGTGCTTTAACATAATCCAAAGGGCTTTTTTGCCATTTCACACTTGAGACGCACGCTGTCACTATACTGAGATGCACGGATCACAGAGTTATTGTAGCTTAGTGAAGGAAAAAACAAAACACACGAGGGGAAAGAACTGCATTACCTCTGCTGAGGAAAAAACAAAATGGTCGGGAGCCGATCTGTCATAAATTCCCAAGGAAGATCATTTTGAGTGGTATCAATTCTGTTAAGAAAACATGCACACAAAAAGTCATTGGAGGGATTACTAAAAGGGAAAATGCAAATTTTTTTTCCCCTAAAGTTCTACATAGAAAGGAACATGAGTTTAATTAATGAAACGACTGTTCAATTGCTTGCTATGGCTTTATTTTGCTTTCTTCAGTCATTTCTGATTATAAATTGTTACAATTCTATTAGAAAGAAAAGAAAAAAAAAACAACCAACAGATGTTTTTAACCACACAGTGGGTTTCAGCACCACTGAAACAAAAATAACAGACCAAATGATAGAACTTCAACGTCAGGAAAGAGAATGGGTGTAATTTGAGCAGCATTTTACCTAGGGCAAAAAAGCAGCAATTATAAACAAGTGCTAGCTGTAGCTTTTAATTTTTTGCCCATATATCTCCTGCTGCTCCTTAAGGAAATTCAGTCAGAATGAAATAAGGACACAATGAGAACAGAGATGCAAGCAATCATGTATGTGAGAATACATCAGTAAGAATGTTTCGGTTGCACTGAAACCCTGACCATGTTAAAGAACTGTCAGACATCACACGTATCTACACATGTTGTATAAATGCGTACCTATGTCTCTCAGTTCCTAAAATACAACAGTGTATGATTCAATTCTTCACTTCAAATGATCAGAGAAAGTTAAAAATGCCTTTCTGCTGCCACCTGCTGTACTGGTTCCCTTTCCAAAATCAGTGTGCTCCAAGAATAATTTGAGAATTCATTTTAACTGAACTGCAGAAACGCTGCAGTGAGATTGAAAAGAATCAAATTTAGGCAGAGGAAAGAAAGATAATGGATTCAAAGAAAAATGAAACAGATGACATTCACATCAACTACTGCGAGACTGTAGAGAGAAAAAAAAGGAATTATTCTCTAGGCCAATTATCTCAATGAACTTGCATTATTCTAGAGAGATTAAATTAGAATCTTTTTTTACCTTGCCACAGTGAAATGATCTGGAGGCAAAAGCCGAGCCAGCTGAATAAAGATATGATTAAGTGAAGCACAGAATCCACACCACTGTGCATAATAGAGCAGCAAGACATTCTGTAAAATGAAATGAAGAGTCTCATTACCTACTGTAATTGATCTGCACTAAAGAAGGGCTAGTCTTCACAAAATCTCAATTATTTAGCACTCTTAACATATGAAAATACACTGCACGCTAATGTTGACACGCTTTATTACAAGCTATTTACTGATGCCTTCTGTCTCTCAGGTTAACACAGGCATCTCCTCTCCGTAAAGAGAAAACAAAGAGAATTATTTAGTTCTCACTAAATAAAAATGCAACAAGCTTTCTTACACTTCTTAGGATTCTTCTGCAGCCTTGAACTCCTACATGTCTAACAGTGACTGTACAGCCCAGGAGGTGGTGCTGGGGAAGATGTCTGCCCTCCTGCTTTGGGCCTTTGGCTAGCAAAGGGCAGCCGGGATGCTGAAGCCAAGCACTGCACGTATACCCACCTGCTGCAGCCCCACAGCCAACAGACACTAATCCTGAGTACTTCTTAAAAAGAATAAAAAGTGATTTAACTGCTCTTCAAGATGACCTCATACATAAAACAATTTCATGGCATGCAAATAGACAGCTTGTGCCTTTGAGATTTCTGTGTGCCAAATCCTATCTTCGGTTTAAAACTTCTGTCAGCTTTACAAGTGCTTTTTTTTAAGTTTAAAAACAACAATTAATACATAGAAAACAAAAGGTACTTATGTCCTTTAAGTTATGAAAGGCAGACATCACAACGCCTGGCAGCATTACCTCAAATTCCACGTGTGCAGCATGTGCTGCTGCTGCTGCAGAGGAAGGAGGGAAATGGGGCTGCAGATTGCAGGCAGAGTCAAGGACTTCTTTCCATCTCAAAAGCACAGGCAAAGTAAAAGGAATGGAACTTTGAACGATGGTAGAAAGCTGCTATGCAGGAATCCACAGCATGGACTTTTTCATTCTTTGACCAGGAAAAAGGCACTTTGGAGATTCACTTAAAGTTACACTAAACTTGATTGCTTTTTTTTTTTTTAAGAAACAAATATTCTGGCGTTCTGAATAAAGACTGCTGTATTTTACAAAGAAGCAACGCAGGTGGCTAAAAAAAGAATGAGAATCCTTCCTCAGAAGGTGAGCAACGACTTGCAGAAGCTTTTTCCTACAGCAAGGAGTACCTTTTCACTTGAAAACACAATGTGATGGAAGGTGCTGGTGGTCACTTCAGCCACGACGCGCTCTGCAGGGACACGGACTGAGGTGCCATCCACGAGATGCCTCTTCAGGGGACTGTAGAGAAT